AAACAAAGTACCCACAACCAGAGACAAAGTTTGATATTAACTAGTAAAGGTCTCATTTCACAAAAGAACACCTATAATGCCTAGAAGGACCGGAAGTCCCCTGGGCTGCCAAGCCAGAAAGGGGAGACAACCAGGCATACCACCAGTGCCACGGGGCCTGCCCAGGGTCTGGAGGCATGGAGCCAGGGACCAGATCCTCCGCCCACAACCAGGCACACCACCAGCACCATGGGGCCCACTCAGGGTCCTGAGGCATGGATCTAGGGACCAGACCCTCCTCCCACAACCAGGCACACAACCTGCGCCACCACCAACTAGTGGCTAGACACTACAACCACCATGCAGATGGTCCACCAGCCACTAGAGTGCACTGTCACAAGGACAGTCACAAGCAGTGACCAAAGAAAAGAAGAGGATGTCTCTCTCCTCAAAGCTCATTCCAGAGTGACAGAAGAAGCATCTGCTCTATGATAATATTGGGGGACCTGAATACACCTCTCAGCATTGGATAGATTATCTAGGCAACAAATCAACAGAGTAACCACTATTCTTTCAGAAGGAAATAAGAAATCTAGGGTAATTAGAGGGGGGAGAGGGATGGGGTGAGATTGGACAAGGGGCATAAAGAATAAGTATGATTTGTAACAATATATATGCTAGTAATATTGACTTGATCAACATATGTCAACACTGAACCCCAAAAATATGTATAATCAACTATGATTCAATAAAAAAAAAGATAAAATTTAGTTCAATGTTTAGTTATATATATTTAATTTGTAACCTAGATATTACATATATGAAAATTTTCTAGGGCTGGCCTGGTGGTGCACTGCTATAGTGCGCCGCTTGGGAAGCGCGGTGGCGCTTCCGCTGAGGGTTCGGATCCCACATGCAGACCGGCCGCTCACTGGCTGAGCGAGGGGCGGGAGCAACACCGAGGGTTGCGATCCCGTGGCCGGTCCCGGTCCGGTACGGGCGCGACACTGAGGGTTGCAATCCGTTGCCGGTCACGAAAAAAGACAAAAAAAAAAAAATTTCTATTAATGGAAAGCTCCACTTTTTTTTAAATTTTGGTGGCTAACCAGCATGAAGATACAAACCCTTGACCTTGGTGTTATTATAAGGCTGTATTCTAACCAATTGAGCTGACCAGTCAGCCCCTCAACTCTTTAATATTAATGAATAATAAATAGCACTTAATAAAAGTCTGGTTAATTTTTTCTTTCTTTTTGGTTTTGATTTAGTTTGGTTTTCAACCATAAATTGTTGTAGGCTACACATCAACAATAACAATATTTTATAAGACTGTGATCTCTTTGGACTCCAGTGAAAGCTAAAGGACCTTCAGAAGAACACAATTATACATAAAATTTTGCTCACATTAACTAAATTCATAGACATCCTAAGTAAGAAAACCCAGCTTTATAATATAAACCTGAATACATGGTCTGATTTATTAAAACAGTTGATTGAAACCCAACTTTACAAAAAGATAGGCTCTTTAAAATAACAGCATTTTATTCCTACCATGTCCTAGGAACTACTCTAAATAGTTTATGTATATCAACTTATTTCATCTTCATGTCAATCCCCACGAGTAGCTACTTTTATCCCCAGTTTACAGATGATGAAACTGAGGCACAGGCAGTCACACAGCTAGAAAATGGCAGAGCCTGGATTTAAAGTCATGGAGCTTGAATTTCAGAGCTCATGATCTTAACCATTATACCATCACTGCCTATGAAAGTGAGGTGTACATAATTACATAGGTTTGACAAGCCTTAAAATACCTGAAGTCATAAGCAGCATATTAAAGATCTGGAAAAGTTTAAGCTCCCTTAGAATCACAGCGGAACATAATAGGTAGTGCTAACAGACACAGACAGCTTTCTTCATCCTCACCAGAACACCCACAACCTTTAAATTCTAAGAAATAAAAAATATTACTTGTGTTTTTAATATTTTATTATTTGTTTCTTTTTCAGAAAGTTAGGCAATAATTCTAAGAGAAATTTTTCACAATATTTGTATAAAGGCTATTATAAATTAACTGGTGAAATCAGCAATTTTCCGAAAGTTCAAAATTCAGTAATTCAGGACTTTTCTAAGCATAAGAAATGTTCAGATACATCTGAATTACACTGAAAAATAAACTCTCCTGGACCCTGAAATTCTGTTTCTCTAAGGAATCTCTGCAGATACCTTGAGTGATTAGCCAGTCTGTCAAAAAGGATGAAACATAAATTGTGATGATAAAAATAGATTCTATACTATAAAATTAAGCAACTTATACTAAACATCAAACTTGTATATGGCAGTCTTAGGAAAAAGGCAACTTACCTGGATTCGTGATGTTGAGCAGTTTGCAGGAGTAAGGATCCTCCCTGTCTTCCACAGGCACTTCACAGCCACGAGCACCTATTATGAACTTCACAAGCACACTGAGAGATGTGTTGGAATTAACATCAGTTACTGATCTTCACCTCGCACATGCACGTTTCCTCACACCTATTTCAGAGCCGAGCACCTATTATGAACTTCACAAGCACACTGAGAGATGTGTTGGCATTAACATCAGTTACTGATCTTCACCTCGCACATGCACGTTTCCTCACACCTATTTCAGAGCTTTTACTTTGAGACACAAGTATTTATAAGGATTAATTCTCTACCTTTATTCTTCTAGTCTAGCAAAAAGGGGGAACAAGCAAAATAGAAGTTGCTAGCTACCAAGTGACTTATGTGTAAGCCCTCTACTGCAATAGTATATTAAAGCAAGTATGAGTATGTTTGGTCTGGCTACAAGCAAATGCTCAGACCGTTTAAAAGCAAACTACAGTAAAGTCAACCTCTTGTGCCCACACCTAGAAACATATCTCTACCTGCAATTTTCCTTTTTTGCTTTCTTCTATTTCAGAAGGTGTTCCTTTTGTTCAAGATTAGCCTCTCTATCCAAAAGGAGGTCCCCTCTTCTCCTAAACCTTGCTTCACAGGTTACAGCTGAAACCCATGGCTCCTTCCCTCCACGTTCTAAATATGACGAAATCCAAACACTAACTTCTGTTCACCTACTATCCTTCCTCGCCCCCACACTTTTCTTTACACTGAGGTCCTACAAAGAAATTAACTAAAATTTCAGCTCTAGTTTCTCACTTGCCACTTGTTTTATAAGACAGAAATTTTAGCTTCAACACCTGCCACTTCTGTTGAGATGTTTACCACCAATGTAACCAATGATCTGCTACTAAATCAAGACACTCTTCAACCCTTATCTGCCTGACTTCTGTATGGCGGGATACCGCTCATGTCCCTAAAATGCTCTCTTGCCTTCTTTTTGTGGCTCTGCTCAGTAGGCTTCACTGGTGGCTCTTCCCTAGCTGGTCTGTCCACTGAGAGCGGACATTAGTCCAGGGCTTTGCCCTTGGGTCTCTTCTCAGGCTACTCCCTCTTTTCACTCCCTCTCCCTGGACAACATTTGTTTATTCCCAAGGCTTCAACTAACCTGGGAATGATTCCTGAATTAGTATCTTTAGCTTGGACTATCTTCTAAGTGAAAGATCTATAAATCCATTGAACATCTTCACCTAGATGAGCTGCAGACAACTGTGTGCTGAAGCCCGCTTGCACTGGCTTGTGACAGCCTAATGTTAAATTTTCACGAATTTTGTGCAATGGTTGTTAAGTACAGTCTTTATTAAAAATTAAATTATATAAACACAACTAAATACATTATATTAAAAACAAAGGAAATACTCAAATTCATCATTTGCTGATTTTACTGCTTTACTATTATCTATGCTCTTGAGGTTATTTATATCTATTATATCTACATGGTGGAAATACTATACATGGTGCACTACTGTGTATCTTTCCCCAACTGCGTTCAGTGATGTCACATCAGTTGCTTGAAATTGGCTATGGTGGGAATACTTACACCATAGAAATTGGCAAACAATATAAATAAGGACTTCATTTATTGTTTTGTTTACTGTCTAGACTTAAAGTATGGAGAAAATGTTAATAATGAAGATTAAACTTAATGTGATATGTTTGTAGCCATGACATTGTAAACAATACAAAAAAAGTAAATAAAACAAGGAAATACTCTTCCAGTGTTCAAAAATTACTATATGATTTAGCGAAGAAGTCACTGACTTCACTAAGAGTAAAGATCTGACATATCTTAGTTGTCACTTTAGTCTTACTGTTTAACTTAAAGGAAATATTTATGTCACAACTACACTCCTTTGTCAGTTAACACCATAAATTGTTACCGATAGATGGTCCCCAACTTATGATGGTTCAACTTCACGATTGGTTCATTAGGGTAATAAATGCATCTTTAACTTAATGATATTTTTGACTTATGACGGATTTATCAGGACATAACCACAGTGTAAGTCGAGGAACATCGGTATAAGAGTCAGGCAAACAACAAAATCATTCTATGAGAACCAACTGGCTGCATGGAATTCACAAAAAAGAGTATTGTATATGTTATTATTATCTGTCGATTATGTGCTACACATTATTTATGTCAACACAATTTATAATAAACATATGTGTATATATAAGCCAGGTAGTAAACATTTACCGGTACGCCACTGCCCACAGGTACCTCAAACTCAACATACTCACAGCTGAGCTTCTTTCCCACAAAACCTGCTCTGCTCTTCTAGTATTTTTCACATTGATTGATGATTCTATTATTCTCTAAGTCAGAAAGCTAGCAGTCACCTGAGATCCCTCCTCTTCTTTCTGCATTTAATGACCTTATTCCCAGGCCCTCTGCAGTCCTTGCCTAAACAGATCTCACCCTTCACTTAACCCTCCACACAACTGTTCTGCTGGTCACCACCTGCCTCTCACAGTCACATGCCCTCCTTCCTTCCCAGGCTCGCTCTCTTGCACTCACCCACTACCCCACCCTCAACGTAATCCCTGTGTTCTGGTTACATAGGACCGTTTGCAGTTTCCCAAACACTCTAGACATTCTATATCTATTTATATCACAGCACATACAACATTTTATTACACTATTACATCCATTTCCTTCTACTAACCATCAAGCCCCCCTAAACACTGAGGCTATACTGTACCTATCTTTGCATTCAACTACACATAGTACACTCCCTACTTGCAGAAGATTCTTAATAAATATGTTAAATTGACAAATTTTGGTTTCATTTGGCTTAGAATTAAGTAAGGTTCTCAAAATATGCATGGAGTTTGGCTCCTTTGGTGAAACACAAGATTAGAAAGTTTGCCATAACCACAGAAATGTACTTTCTTTTATTAATGGCCAATTAAGGCAGAATACCTCTCATAAACAACTAGCGTTTGGAATAAAAACATAAACAGAAATGAATAAATTTGCTAAATCATTGCATATATTTACCAAATTTGTTTTTCTAGTCATCTTAAATAACTTACTAGATCCACAAAATTACTCTGCCCTAGGAAGTTGTTTACTAATATCTATCTGTAAAAACAGATATCTATTTCTATATAGATAGCCTATCATTCTCATCTAAGTTTAAAGCAAGACTGCTATGATGGCAAGTCAGTTACTGATGAACATCTGAATGTTAATTTTACTCATTACATTTAGTTCTGAGTCACTCATTTGACAGTTATTGAGGGCCTTACACTGTGCCAAGCTAGGCAGGTACTGGGAGCACATCGACAAAATAAACTAAAGACCCTATACTAATGAAACCCAGATTCTAGTGGGGAAAGTCAATAACTTATAAATATACAACCAAATACAATAAACATGCCAGTTGGTGATAAGCATTATAAGGAAAAATAAGGTCAAGTAAGGAAAGATAGGGATGAAACAGGGGTGGGATGCTATTTAATACGGGGTTGTCTGCTAGGGTGACATCTAAGCAGAGACCTCAGGGAAGTGAGCCTTAAGGACATTTAGTGGAAGAGTGATCTAGGCAAGGAAATGCAAAGGCTCTGAGGCAGGAACATGTTAGTGTATTTAAAGCACAGTAAGGTGGTCAGTGCAGGGGAAGTAGATGTAGATAAGATCAAAGACCACAATCAAGAATTATTCACTCTGAGCAAGAAAGGAACTCAATGGAAGGGTATGAACAGAGAACTGACATAATCTGACTAATTTTGAAAGGATCAATCTAGCTGCTGAATGGAAATAAAATGTAGGTGGTCAAAGGTAGAAGCAGAAAATTCAGATAAAGGGGGAATAATCCAGGTGAGAGGTAAAGATGACTTAGATCAGGATGGTTGTGGGAAGGTAGTAAGAAGTCGATTCTGGATATGATCTAAAGGTAACACCATGAAGATATGCTGATAGATTAGATGCCACATGTGAAAGAAAGCAGAGTCAGAGAACACCAAGGTTTTTGGCCTGAACAACTGGTGGAAGGGAGACATTTTCTGAGATGGGAAAGACTATAGAAGTGCAGGTTTTGGAGGTGGTTCTGATGGTACCTCAGATGATTCTGAGGCCTTGTATTTGCTGAGTAATAGATTCTATTATCATTGCATCATGAACTAAAGAAAGCTGCCTTAAAAAAGAATGAAAGCTGCTATGAGTAAGATCGAAACCTATAAATGTTGACTAGTAGTGACAAGAAAATCCACAACTCCGCTTCACTTACAGCAGTATAGCTACCCAATCACAAAAGTGCCAGTTTAATGCAATCCCGAGAGGGCCTTCTCTGATTATCACCTAAGTGTCTGCACATAACTAGAAGTCCTTCTGTCTTCTCTTCCCCCAGCTCCTCACTATATCATCTTCAGAGGCTGGTCTCTAAAAATAACTGAGCCACCTAATGTCAGCATGAGATGTGCTACGAAAGCTCAGCTCTGGAAGGGGAGTCAGGAAAAAGAGCTTGACATATTACATACACTGCAGATCACACAACTAGTATATTCAACAAAACTGAAAAAAATTAAGTTTATTTCTGTGAAGTTAATGAAAAGTATATTTAAGCACAAACATGTGTCTAAGTAGAGAACTATTCTGGAATAGAACCTTTTAAATATTACAATTCTAAATCAAAGCATAAGATAAACCACACCTGGTATCTATAAATACTAGCTATGTTAACCAGTGAATAGACTCCCCTCCAACTATCTTTTGGCTTAAAGTCTTAGTTAAATTTACTTTTTGGGCCAACTAAATGGAAGAAGAGCAAAATGAAATAAGCATTTCTCCCAGGAAAAGAGGCCACACATCTAAAATAACATCTCTGACTATTCAAAATAAGGTTTTTTAGAACTCTTGTTTCAGTAAACAAAGTAAAGTAACAACTTGGAAAACCTACCGTTGACTTAATGCTGGATGTTGTATCAAATGCTTCAGCCAGGTGCTTCTTATCACATTTCGAAGTTCATGGTTATTGCGAGCTGACAACACGCCAACTACCACATCATAGTTACTAGACTGCCACGGAGGAAATAAGGCCAAATGATCTAGACATAAGCAACAATAAATTAGAACTTAGTCACGTCTCAATTACTGTAAGTTCAATATGTAACATAAAAAGTTGATTACAAAATAAAGTATGTTTATGTTTGTAGAAAATACAGATAAACAGATGCAAAAAAAATTTTAAAAAAAAATCACCCATAAACCCACCATGCAGAGATAACCACTATTAACATTTTGGTGTAGAGTCTTTTTGTCTTCCACGTATCTGTATGTATTCATGCTCACATATGTATGAAAATTCTTCAAAACAAGATGTTTGTGGGGCCGAGCCCGTGGCGCACTCGGGAGAGTGCGGCGCTGGGAGGGCAGAGGCGCTCCCGCCGCAGGTTCGGATCCTATATAGGGATGACCGGTGCGCTCACAGCACTCACTGGCTGAGTGCGGTGCGGCCGGTCTCAAAAAGGACAAAAAACAAAAAAACGAAGATGTTTGTGATAAGAATCAGTTTTGAAAGGCAATGTGCCAGAACGACATAATATTAGATGGTAAGAGTCAATTAAACTACAATTAGAATCCTGGCTCTGTCACATATTATAAGTTGTTTAATTTCTTGAGCCTGTTTCCTTAACTACAGAATAAGTGTAATAATACTTCTCACAAAGCTGTTGTAAAAATTAAATGATGTAATATGTAAAGGTCCTCCATAGTTCACACAAAAGCAAATAATAGTAGAAAGATGTGCTTTGAAAGGTGAAGTCCTACATTGTTAGTTATTAAGTTGGGGGATGATGTTGAAGGACTTCCATTCTAGAATGTATCAGAACCCTTATTTATGTCAATAAATTCGACAGCCAGCAAACCTTTTATTACCTACTAAATACAGTATTCTAAAAAAAAAAAAAAGAAAAATCAAGTAACAAGTCATGTGAATGGCTCATTTTTTACTGTCATAAGGTCTAATGGGCAAGATTACATTTCAATTTCTAAAATTTGTCCTCTAGTAGAAAGATGTGCTTTGAAAGGTGAAGTCCTACATTGTTAGTTATTAAGTTGGGGGGATGATGTTGAAGGACTTCCATTGTAGAATGTATCAGAACCCTTATTTATGTCAATAAATTCGACAGCCAGCAAACCTTTTATTACCTACTAAATACAGTATTCTAAAAAAAAAAAAGAAAAATCAAGTAACAAGTCATGTGAATGGCTCATTTTTTACTGTCATAACTTTTTCAAAGAGAAATAATAATAGTATTCTAGTGAAAGGAGGAGGCAAATGTAGTAACTAGCCAGTTCTGACACTGATTCCATAGCCAATACGCTACATTACCTTGGTAAAAATAAGTCCCTTGTGCCTCAGTTTCTTACTCAGAGAAAACTGATACAAAAAAGCTTTTAGATATTCTATTTCATCTCTTTCAAAATGTCTTCTCAAAAGATTAAAAGCTGCAGAAGGGCAAACACCTCATTTAACCTAAATGCCTCGTTTAACAACACCAGAAAACAAGGTTGCTGCACAAAAGCAAATTTTCAAAATAACTGAAAAATCCCTTTTACTGCCAAACATTTACCTTATTTTGATGGACAAAGTAAATCTTTTAGAAACAGATTACATGGCACATAATTTAACCTTTTCTTGATGACTCAAAATCTTCATGAAAAATGTCTCAAATCTATCCCTTTCTCGTCATTAACTCTAGCTGCTGCTTCTAGTTCATTCGGACTGTCATCTTTCACCTGGACCAGTACAAGAGTATCCCAACTGGTTTCTCCCTGACTTTTCCATATTACCGCCAAATGGGAATTTTCTAAAAATAAGTCATTAAATAAACACAAAGATAACCATGTGGCATGTGAAATCCCATGGATGATGGAAGTAAACTACTTTTTGATCTTATTCCACCTCTCAGCCACTGTCAATCCTCCCTGCTTCTAATCCATACCTAAGCTGCTTCTGTTCAACCACTTTATTTTACATGCATTTCTCTTTTTCTTGCAGAGAAGTACATGGCACATCTTGACCTTTTAGAGAATGCCTACTTCTAGATATATCGAAGTCAGACTTCAGAAAAATAGATTTCTTCTATCACATACCATCAATGTAAACCAGGCCAATAGATGCCTTAGTACTATATTACACAGCACAAAACCCAAAGTGGATGCTTAATAAATACCAATCTAAGAATGTTCCCTAAGTTCCTAGTTTTCCTTATCAATTTGGCTCTATACTCTCATCACCCTCTGTTATATATTGCAAGCATAGGGTATCTAGGTTGACTGTGGTGTCTGAAAACAGGAAGAAAAAAAAAGAAGAAAATATAAGTAAACACGAGACAAAAGGACATAAAAGTAACTCACAAAAGACAAATGGTCAGCAACCTATGAAAAATGTTCAACTCCACGAGGAATTGAATTTAAATTAGAGCAGTAAGATACCAGTTTTCTCCTACATTCAAATTGACTAATGTCTTCTTAAATATTAATGAACAAATGATGGGTACTTCAAGGAAATGTGGATAGTGACTTCAAGGAAATGGCTACTCTCCTTCTTGCTGGTAGGAATGTAATTTGGTCCAGTCCTCTGCAGGTCAATTTGGCAATATGCACCAAAGACCTTAGAATTGTACAACCTCTGTCCAGCAATTCCACGTCTAAGAACTTATTCTAAAGAAATATTCAGTGATGCACTCAAAGATTTCTATTCATCAGTGTCACTTATTAATAGTGAAAAATATTGTGCATAAATGCACAAATAAGGGACCTGTTAAATTATGGTACATGTATATGATAGAATACTATGCAGCCATTAAAATTATGTTGTAAACACCTCATTAAATATTATTCTATATCTTATTAAGAGAAGCAAGAACTATGTACCTACTGTACGGTTCCATTTATACAAAGTACAAAAGCAGTTAAACCTCTGTCAGACAATAGAATAGTGGCTACCACCCTTGACAGAGACAGAAAGGAGCATGAAGGGAACTTCAGGGGTGCTGGTAGTTTTTCTTTTTTAAATGTGGGTGCTAATTAGTTGGGTGTGTTCAGTTTATGAAAATAATCTGCATAGTACATGCATGAAAAGAATGTGTATTATACACCAATAACATTAAAAATATATATTAATGTCCCCCAAACATATATTATATGTACCATATGTGCTTCTGAAAACAGCCAGAAAGTACGGACCATTTTTCTTTCCTGTTTTTTAAGAACAATTTCAAGTTTTTCTACAAAGAACTTGTAGCTGGAAAATTCATTCTTACTTTCCCAATTTTATTCTCTTGAATTCATTCAAATTATTGAGCATTTCCTATGTTCACTGTTCTAGATGGCACAGATACAGCAAAAACAAAATGTTCATGTCAGGAATAATTCACAACCCCAAAAAAGCTCCCTGAGGACAGTGACCATTTCTTTTCTTTAATGTGTAATATGTCCTGATAGTCTGGAAACCTGTTAGGGTCTGTACTGAGAGTGGATACCCAAAAGTATGTTAAAATTAAAGGGAAGTTGTCTTCAAAACTGATTGTTCAAAACAAGCCCAAGTATTAAAAACCAGACCAAAATCCCACTCTCATGTGCCTACTCTTGGATGACATCAATTACAAATAGGCAGAAATCTTGAAAATGAGGAAAATACACCACTCCATCACAGATCTACTGATAAGGACAGTCATTATACACACTACTACAGTGCATTCTCACCAGTTTGGACAGTCATTATACACAGTACTACAGTGCATTCTCACCAGTTTGGACAGTCATTATACACAGTACTACAGTGCATTCTCACCAGTTTGGACAGTCATTATACACAGTACTACAGTGCATTCTCACCAGTTTGGACAGTCATTATACACAGTACTACAGTGCATTCTCACCAGTTTGGACAGTCATTATACACAGTACTACAGTGCATTCTCACCAGTTTGGACAGTCATTATACACAGTACTACAGTGCATTCTCACCAGTTTGGACAGTCATTATACACAGTACTACAGTGCATTCTCACCAGTTTGGACAGTCATTATACACAGTACTACAGTGCATTCTCACCAGTTTGGACAGTCATTATACACAGTACTACAGTGCATTCTCACCAGTTTCAAAGATACCTCCCAAAACACCACACTATTAGCATCACTATACTCAAAAATTCGTGGAATGTTTACTATGAATCAGGCACTGCTCTGGGCGTTTATTAATTGTATCTTCACAATAACCCTATGAGATCATCACTGTAAGTAAGGAAACTGAAGCATAGAGACATGATTAGCATATAAGGATAATTTTGGAAGAACCAGCCCTAGGCAAAATTGCAAAGCAAGCTCAATTTGTCTTTGACCTTCTACTTGCCCTTTCTGTTTCCATTTCACAGACTGTGCGCATCTTGAGAGCAGGGACCACGCATCTAACACAACACCAAGAACTCTAAGTATTTGTTGAGTGGATATGCTCCTTTCCTTTCTCTTGGTGTCCTTCTTTCCAAAACCCTACAGAGAGGAGCCTTCTTTTGTCAGATCATTCTTCTAAATTAACCATAAAAATTCCTGCTAAGGGGGGCGGGGCAGCTGGCCAGTTAGTTCGGGTGTTTAGAATGTGGTGCTGCTAACACTAAGGTTCAGGGTTCAATCCCTGTCTCAGCCAGCCACCAAAAAAATAAAACAAAATAAAATAAAATTCCTAAGGCATTACCCCAAACCAATATGTTGTGATCAAGTTATCTTTTATCTAGATTCCCTAGTGTAATAGTTATCTCCCTCTCCACATCCTCTAGACACACCTAGGTGTGCTGGATTTCACAAGAAGATCTGCTTCCTCTTCAAGAGTTGCTCTCCCTGACTGGGTTCAGCTGTTTCTTTAAAACAGCAGCCCATCATTCTCTATCCTCTTATACTGCTTTATTTTTCTTTACCATACTTATCACTACGCCCTGTGACATAATTATTTCCTTATGTCGTCTTCCTTTCTAAATTGTAAACCGCATAAGGGCAGGGACTTTATCTTGATTACTGCTATCATTCCACACCTACAACAGGAGCTATCACAGAGTGGGCTCTCAAATATTTGCTGAATCAACTGCCAGCCAGTGGGTCTTTTTAATATTCAGAGAAGGTAAATCTCCCTCAAAAAATGCTGCATGACTTACTGAGACAAAAAGGAAGAGAAAATAGAACAAAAATAAATCTTTAAATCTTAATTCAAGGGAAGAATACTTAGCAAAATCTTTCTCCCATTAGGCTTAAAGTGTAAGGGTTAAAATGTAAAAATGCTCAAATGTTTTAGCTTAAACATGGTGTGACAGCTCAATGGGAAAAGGTGCTGTGGGAAATTTGAGCAATTGAGATGCTTCTACTGTTTTTAGTTTTGAAAGTACGAAAAGAGAAAAATGAAAGTTAGAAGTCTGTCAGGTTTAATTTAAATCAAAATATCCTATTTATTATCTGACCAAATGCACAGTATCCATTCAAAGTCAAAGTTAATTTACATAACTAGTACTGATCTTCTATACACGAGTACTTCAAAAAGTTCATGAAAAAATAGAATTAAAAAACAGTTTTTCCATGAACTTTCTGAAGTACTCTCATATCACCCTGTCCCTTTTCTCCTTCTTTGCTTCCTTAATCTAGCCTGGTCTAGCTGGAATGGCAGAATAAGGCATCGTCCAAACACTAAGGGAACAGGAAAAACCTGTCTCAAACTAAGAAACTGCCTGGAAGACTTACTAAGATTTAAATTTGAAGGCAGAGTTTTTGTTCTATTGAACCCAAAAGACTGTTAAGGTCATAAATATCCTAAGGATGTTCTTAAAGTAGATTCCAGTAGGGCTCGATCATATAAAAAAAAAAGAGAAAACTGTAAATCATAAACCCAACAGATGTTACAAAGCATTTAATACATATGGCACTTTTCTCAGCTCAGTTTAGAAAAACCTAAAAACCAAAACCAAACCCCAACCTGTAAACAGGTTAAATGCACTGTAACACTGTACTTTCATTAAACCATTTAGTGTTTAATTCTACTCAGATGACACAAACAGCCTTTTCAAAGAGCTGGTGGTTCGTCTAACAGGAAAAGAGACTGTTACCAAAATAACCCCAATATAATGTCTTGTAACAGTGAGACTGTTTTCAGGATTGCCGAATAATTTGCACTTATAAGGCGCACAGCCATCTGCCAAATGGCAAATATCCAAACCTGATTTTTAAACTTTTGGCTAAGAAAACAGCTGCTTGGGGGAGAAGTGGTAAGGGAAAAAAAATCCCAATGTCTCTTTAAAAAGTGACTGTGGTAAAGCATCCCACTGGGTTGCGAAACGAACAAAAAGAAAGATTTCATTCCCACGAGGGATTAAGTTTTCTAGCACACCGATATGACCGTGCAAGATCTGCTATTTCCGTGTCCCTCTAGACTGCGCGATCCAAACTCACTGTCACAGCCATGTCCTGTTTCACGTCTGGATGGGTTTAACTTCCATCGTCACCAAAGACGACAAAACACAGTATATTCTTACAAGAAAGTTATTCCTTACAAGCAAAACCCAGCCACCTCTTAAAACGTGCACAAACTACACCCCTGGCACTCGGACCCCAAAGTCTTCACCGGGTGGGACCGACGACCCGGGAGCCCGAGCTTCCCAGGCGGCAGCGGCCGGTGGCCGAGGGCGGGCGTGCGACCAGGCTGGGCACCGCCGGGGACGCGGGGAGAGAAGCGCTCCCTCAAGTCCGCCCGAGGCGAACGCCCCGACTATGAAAAGAGCCATTTGTCTCGTCCGGGGACCGGCGTGTTCGACCCTCCATCCCCCCCCACACCCGTCCTCACCGGCCGCCATCCCCGACGGGACTCAG